AGGTTACACCTCCCGCTCTCCATCACTTCCTTCTGCTCGCTGGCAGCCGCTGCTGCCCGCAGCCTCTCCCACCTCTGGAATCCTGCTCTTGGATCTTCTCTCCTTTCTCTCCCTCCAACCCCAGCGGCGCCGCCACCACCACCCCCCCTCTTTGTTAACTCTCACCCGAGGATATTTTTCCATTGATTTTTTAGAGAGAGAGGAAGGGAGAGGGAGGGAGAGAAACATCGATGTGAGAGAGACACATCGATTGGTTGCCTCTTACACTGGGACCCTTCGGTCGGCTCTCTCTATCCCCTGAGCCAAACCAGCTAGGGCCCTTTTCATCTTTCTCTCTCTCTCTCTCTCTCTCTCACTCTCTCTCTCTCTCTTTTTAATATATCAGAGAGGAAGGGAGAGGGAAAGAGAGATAGAAACATCAATGATGAGAATCATTGATTGGCTGCCTCCTGCACATCCCCCACTGGGGATAAAGCCCACAACCCAGGCATGTGCCCTTGGCTGGAATTGAACCTGGGACCCTTCAGTCTGCAGGCTGACGCTCTATCCACTGAGCCAAACCAGCTAGGGCCCTTTTCATCTCTCTTGACGCTCTTTCAGCCTCCCAGGTCCCTGGCCTCTCCTCCCTCCCAACCAAGTTAGTGCTAATACCATGGCAGACACAGCAGACCCACAGAACCCACCCGACCAAACTCACAGCGCACACACAGAGGACACACAGCCGCCTGCAGACACATGGACACACACCCCCCCCTATGCCTTGTGCTTTTCTTTGGCCACGTGGGAGGGCACAGAACACACCTTTCCCCATTTGCCCACCAGCTTAACTCTCTCTGAATCTCATGCTCCCAGGATGGCCAGCAAATCCCAAGCACAGCAGATCTGCCAGCACAGAATCCAACAGAGGCCCAGGGACCAGGACTGGACAGCTTTCCAGAACACCCCCTGGGGGTGCCCTACCTCTTCGCCTCCCAGGACCCCTTTGAGTACCTCCTGCCTCACCCCCAGCCCAGGTTCTGAAAGAGGCTCCCGGCCAGACTGCGTTGATTAAGTATTCATTATCGCCCCATTTTTTATTAATCAAAGACATGTATAATTGCCCATTGGAGCCTGTGATCAGCATGAGATGGCCAGCTGAACCAGCTGCGCTGCTAGCATTCTGGCCCAGAGCAAGTGAGCTGCCAGCTTCCTGGCCATTTCCTCCTCAAAGCTGAAAGGGGGGGGAGGGGGGGGGCTTCTTGCTCATTCAGTGCAGTAGGTTGACCCTCATGCCCGGCCTCCTGGATCCCTGCCTCCGGGGTCCCAGGGACTCAAGCTATTCCAAGCCCACCCTTCATTTTAAGGAGGAGGAAATGAGAGGTTAGGACAGCGGAAGGTCAGAACAACCAGGGAGTACTTTCCAGATCTCTACCAAAACAAATAAAGAAAATACAACCGCCCTAACTGGTTTGGCTCAGTGGATAGAGCCTCGGCCTGCGGACTGAAGGGTCCCAGGTTCAATTCCAGTCAAGGGCATGTACCTTGGTTGTGGGCACATCCCCAGTAGGGAGTGTGCAGGAGGCAGCTGATCGATGTTTCTCTTTCATCGATGTTTCTAACTCTCTATCCCTCTCCCTTCCTCTCTGTAAAAAATCAATAAAATATATTTTAAAAATAAATAAATAAATAAATAAATAAGTCCTTATGTCCTTATGTTTAAAAGAAAGAAAGAAAGAAAGAAAGAAAGAAAGAAAGAAAGAAAGAAAGAAAGAAAGAAAGAAAGAAAGAAAATGCAACCACCCAAGCCACTGACCGCATGGAATGGGGGCAGCTACGGTCCTGTTCCCCAGGTGTCATAGTTACACAGCCCTGAGCAAGCTCTCTGCCTGCCCCACTGTGAGATGAGAGCTGTAGTGCTTAATTACAGTCATTGTCACAAAAGAAATAGGAGGTGAGTTTGTTGCTGCAGGGACTTAACCTAGAACATTTGGACATTAGAGAAAACAATGTCTGATGCTCTCTCTATCAATCTTTTCCTTCAGAATTAACTGATGGAATATATTTTAAAAACACACACAATTAACTGATGGGGGGGGAAACACATAAGAAAATATAGCCGCTTAGACAAACAGGATTTAAGATGGAAGATTTTCTGTTACTGCAAGACACAAAGACACTGAAATTAATTCAAGCCCTATCTCCTGCTCTGGCTTACAATTTGGTCTCCTGAGGACCTGGGGGATCAGTGAGTGTGGAAGTAGCAAGGAAAGAACAGAAGAAGTCGAAGCAAATAGAGATTTTAGAATGTCAATTGGCAGGAGCCTGTCAGAAAGGCCCAGCTCACCGGCTGTCTGGGCATCCAGGACAGGAGCTCAGGACTCAGGACAGGTCGTCAGGGCTCTGTCCACCTCGTCTTGTTACCTCTCTCTTGGTTCTCTGTGCCCCGGCTCACACCCACATCAATGTCTGCAGAAGGCACTGCCCTAGGGATGCAAGTCTCACGGAAACTGTCGGGGCAGAATGACAGGATGAACCATCCCCATTCGTTTTGGCTCGAGTTCCAGCAGCTAGCAGAGGCACCTGCTCATCGGATCACTCTCATGCCTCACTCTGATGAGGATTAACATGTAACATCAGAGAGAGGAGTGATTATAATAAGATCTGATGGCGCCCCCGATGTCTTCATTGTTTCTCCCTTTACTTCCTTTCCTCTTCACCCTGCATCCTTTTTTAATGTATTGATCCGCTCAACAAACATTCGTGGAGAGAAGAGATTCAGCACCTTCCTTCAAGGAGCTCGTTCTCTAGCTGGGGAGACAGACAAAGAACCCCAAGATTTCTGGCGTGATCAGCACATGCAGGCAGCACAGCACATGCAGAGGCATGGAGCCTGGACAGAGCAAGAACATTCAGGAACCAGCGAGAGCAGGCACGGCCAGGGGAATGGCCGCACTGGAGGCTGGAGTGACGGCCTAAGTGAAGGCACTTGGACAGCAGCCCATATCACTTAATCACGTCTATTGATTCTACCCCTGAATATCTCTCCTGTCCATCCTTGGCCCCTGCCTTCTTCAGACATCATCTCTCACCCGGACATTACCTGCTTTCAAACCATCGCCATTCAGCCGTTGATTCCCATGGTTCTCTCTGATAAAGGCCTTGGATTTCAGATATGCCAAGCAAAAAGACAAATGAAGCAAAACATAAACTTTTTGTCCTTGCAAAATCCAGGCTTGTGCAAATCAGAATATCTGGGTTTACCAGCTTTGGTCTTCAAAGTGGTTTCAAGAGTTTGTTTTTAGAAGATAAAAGGTAAATTCAAATTTTTTTCATTCCAACTCGGGAGAAAACATGCACCATCTTGAAGCAATACCAACAAGCACCCACAGATTTTGGGCCAATTTACTGATTTTATGGATCCCTTTGAGCTTCAGTCTCCTCACCTATAGGTAAAAGTGGAATTGGGTTGTTGTATGGATTAAAGATAATGCAAGAAAATCACCCAATTAGTATACTAGCTAATTGATACATGCAGCTTTTGTTGTTAACAAGAAGTATTAATTATTGGAAAACAAAGGAAATCAGGAAGTCATATTTGAGGATTGCAAAGTGCCCCTAACCTAAAAAAGGAATGAAGGAGGGGAGATATCACCGCATGCTGCGTGAGCTCAGCCGTCTGCATCAGGAGTCATACCCCAGGGAACTGAGCTCTAGGTAACACCCAAGCAAACATCAGTGTAACCAGGGTGACCTCCCCACTCGAGAAGGCTTGTCCAGAGCAGGGGCCTGTGTGTGTGCGCTGTGAGCTGTGGGAAGGAAAAGGCTTGTCCAGAGCAGGGGCCTGTGTGTGTGCGCTGTGAGCTGTGTGAAGGAAAAGGCTTGTCCAGAGCAGGGGCCTGTGTGTGTGTGCTGTGAGCTGTGGGAAGGAAGTCTCTTCAAGAGCCGGAGAGGACAGAGGCGGAGGGAGTCTGACAGCTGGCCCTTCACGGTGTCTCCCGCTGTGCTCAGCGGTTCTGACAAGCCTGGGAGCCTCTTCGTAGCCCTGAATGAAGATGAGGCCTCCTTGCTCCGGGGAGACTTTTCTCTAACCAAGGGTGAATCCGAAAGGACGCCCTAAAGCTACTGGGGTTGCTCTAGCCAGTCAAGTCGACCAGCTCAGCCCTGGAGGATGTTGGAGTCAGCAGATGTTTGCAATCAGATCAGTCTCCCTCTGCATGCGTGCGTGCGTTCAGGGGAGCAGGGCTCCCGGACCAGCCACAGGGAGCTTCCGGGCCAGTTCCTGTGATAGAAAAGAGGCCACATGAGCCGCCTGCTGCTCATTGCCCTCCACCCAGCTCTACGTCCATGTTCGCCAAGAAACCGTCTATTGGTAATTGACTTCTCACAGACTTTGCCAGAA